GGCTTGTAGTGATGTAAAGTATAAACCTAGTAAGATTGTAAGGGTGAGGGCCTGAATAGTTTGATTTCCGTAGTACATTGACCATGGCTCGATGTCATTCAGGGAGGTGGCGTTACTATATTGGCATAACAGGGCACTTACATTGTTGGGAGACAAATTTAAGTCTAGACACATGCACGACTAGGTCAACGCAAGGCACTCTTATGTCAGCATAACTTTGTAGTGTAGACCAGGCCTAAGGCCAGAACTGGGCCCTGCAATTGCAATTTAGGCTCCACTCCTGCAAACATTTATGCAAATGAGTAGTCCCATTGAAGTCAAGGGGACTACTCACAAGCATAAGTGTTTGGAGGAGGTAAGTTAACAATTCTGTTGAGAATGGGCAAGAAAAATAGAATTCAGTTTATTCTCTCTTAGCTGGGTTGGCTCTACAGGCTCAAGGGGAGTGAAAAGTAAGAAAACTTTATTTTTATCTGCTGGTTTTAGTGACGTGACTGAGTGCACACAGGGGGTAAGAACATATTCTATTTACAGTGTCACATTCTTCAGAGAAGAACCATGGTTTAAAAAAATCAATTCCATATCCATTTCACCCCTTTAAAAAGTGTTACAGTATTCTCATTTCACATTCAACTGGCACTATCATTTAGTTCTGAAGAATGCAGTGCCATTACCTAATTGGAGTTGAAGTACACAATGCACTTATCTTTCCCAACCAGACAATCTGCTGGAAGAATGCTGCAATAGAACTGGAGTTTATTCTGGAGTTCAGAGTGTGTGAAATGTGACAAACACACTTTCGTGACAGTATAGGTGAGTGGTTCTTAACCTTTACTACAGCCTTCACCCCTTTGGTTCTCAAAAATATGTTCTCTCGTATGACTAGAGAATGAAAGAGAGAGAGAATTATATATTTATTTTAATTTCACAGTTAAAATTTAACGCAGTGATCGTTAAAAAATGTATAATGGTTTGATGAAAAAGTAGTTGTACTTAAATGCCTGTGCTTAATTTGTTTTCGATGATTTACCTTCTAAAAAAATCTGGCATGTCTCGCACCCCCAGAAAGGGCATCTCACACCCCAGGTTAAGAACAACTGGTATAGATGGTGATACTTTCCTAGCTCCGTTACTGAGCCACGTGAAGGCAGCAAACACATCAGTTTGTGGAACCAATATCTTTTTCATGTATATTAATACTTATCTCAGGTTTCACTGGTTCCAGATATACACTGCTTTTCAGTCACAGTGTTGGTTTCAGATTTACTTCTGCTATATTAGAAGTCACAAAACAGTGTGGTATCTCCATGGTAAGACATTTACCTTTAACTGGTACACAAATTCCTCCATATGTAGAAATTTTAATATTTGATTTTCTCAGGGGCCCCATATATTCTGGGTTACTTAAAAAAACCTGGATTTACATTTGCTTATACTGGTGTCTATTTTAAATCTCATCATGTTTCTATTTACATACTAGAATCACACAAGTTCAATTGCATCACAGTCCCAATAAAGAATCCTTCATTTTCACTTGGTCATTAGAGGGCTGCAGTTTGGTTGCTGACCAAAGCCCATTCGTTTTCGTTTGGTTCTCTTTCTTTTCGTGTTTTGTTTTAAAAAAAAGGAAGCAGCATTCAAATCTGTTTTTTCTTAGGAGTGTGAAGATCCTCAAACATTTTGATTAGCATAACATTCCCTTCCCCCTCCCCCACACACTTTCCAATTTTCCAGGATGGCAGCATTGCAGATCCAAACCTATGTTTCTTTAAATAGCAGTAGTGGAGCAATGCAACTGTTCTAGTCTAAGATCTGTCACAATGCCAAGTGTTGATAGGGTAAATTGATGACCCAAACAGTTGCATATAGCTCAAAAACAGTGCTAGACTAAGTATTCTGATAGAGTCCACTATGAACCTTGAAGATGTTCATTTAAAAAGTGAGTTTGCATGAACAAAAGTACACTGAATACAAAAAGTATCAACAAAATCAAAAAACAAATTAAGCAAAAATGTAAGAGACAAAGTAAACAAACACAGGAGCAGCTAAAAATCAGCAGCCTAATGATATTATTCAATAATAAGAACATCTATAGCAGGGGTTGGCAACCTTTCAGAAGTGGTGTGCCGAGTCTTCAATTATTCACTCTGATTTAAGGTTTCGCGTGCCAGTAATAGATTTTAACATTTTTAGAAGGTCTCTTTCTATAAGTCTATAATATATAGCTCAACTATTGTTGTGTGTAAAGTAAATAAGGTTTTTAAAATGCTTAAGAAGCTTCATTTAAAATTAAATTAAAATGCAGAGTCCCCCGGACCAGTGGCCAGGACCCGGGCAG